TACTGATCTTGCGAAAAATGTATTAAGCAATCAGAATAGCTGATACATCCACATCTTAACATGTTTTTAATTAAAATTATTACCAATTATGTTTTTTTTTGTCTTTACTTTTTAAATTGTTAACAAATCGTATTTTTATTTAACTCATTTAATTAATAAAAATTTGATCTTTTTTTTACTGTTCTACATACAAATAGATTACTAAAAATAAATGAATAAATACAAATAAACCCTTAAATTCTACTTTACCGCTAAATTTTAGCCTTTGCTTTCTTTTAATTGTTTTCATAATAACATATCATTTAGTATAATATACAAAAAAAAAATTATAGGAAACTATTAATAATAAAGCAATTAAACCAATACATGATTTAAAAAAAACTTAACTCGATATAACTACAATACCACCGATTCTAATTACTCGGACCAAATCGTTCCATACCTCAACCAATACCTTACCCACATTAGGGTTCATTTTAATTAAAATAGCTTTATTGACATTATTAGTATTAGTGTAACCTTAACATACATTGATAGAGTTACCTGGCACTTATTTAGACATAACTTGCATGTTTCAATTTCTTTTGCATTATTGCATTATTACCTTCAACATGCATATACCTAATTTAGTTACTATTTTGCTGTGTACCTTTTTATTACTCAATTCATCTTACTATCCTAGGCTCGCATGTATTCAAATTGGCTATTAATTATTGCTTAGCCTTGATCATTCTCCATACATTATCAATTTTAGATATGTACTATTTATTACTTAGCCTGCATACTTACCAAATTTACTGTATACTTTTATTAATCGACTGATATGTACGTATTAACATCCTAGATATGCATATACTTAAATTAACCATTATTCGTTACTTAGCCTTGATTGTTTTACCATGCATTATCTCCATATTTCTATTTTAGAAATTAGTTATTACTTAGCCTGTGTACTTACCAAATGCCGTATCGCGTGCGGTATAATAATATTATAACGTATAAACTGTACACATATTCCTATTTTAGATACTGTTCATTACTTAGCCTATATACAGTACTTACCAAATTTACTATATACTTTTACTACGTATTCAACTGATACATGCGTATTAACATCCTAGACATGCATATACTTAAATTAGCCATTATTTATTACTTAGCCTTGATTGTTTTGCCATGTATTATCTCTTTGTGCATGTATATCCTATTTTAGAAATTAACTATTACCTAGCTATGTACTTACCAAATGCCATATCGCGTGCAGTATGATAATATTATAACACGTAAACTGCAATTGACAAATTATGATCAATCTCAATAAATTAAAAAAAGAACAATAAAAATTAAAAAATCTTCAAATATAAAAGACTTTTCATCTCACTTTTTAAAAAAGCTATTCGTAAGTCACCACTAATTCTCTTCATTCCTAAAAAAATAATTAATCCTCTCAAACTATTAAAATATTTCCGAACTAAAAAAATAAAACTCAACTAAACATAACTACTCTGATACGTGATCTTTCATACCCGTGCGTCATGCCATTTTATACACATCAAATTTTTCAAATCCGTTCTTTGGAGTATGGTGAACAAGTGATTAATTTAACCGAAACTAATACTATATCACAACCCATAACAAGAGAAATAAATCCTGAATACAATACCACTTCTGTATTATTCTCAACTCATTCTCCATGGACTATATCATCAAAAATGCATCAAGTAATCGATAAATTTGAGAATGAAATTTTATGTCAATTTCCATGTGTCCCCTGCTCTATTTGCTCTAAACTTATGTATCCTGAAAAATCGCTATAGATCCTCAAAGAGCCTAACACTACTTATCCACTTACTACCGTATATTCAGACGTTGTGTTAATTACTAATCCAAATCTACTACCAAACAGAATTGCAATATGTCCTTCATGTAAATCAAATCTAAACAGAAATTATCCTCCTTATCTTTCTCATGTTCCATCAGAAATAAAAATTGTATCATTAGAAAAATGCAGATATTTGTCATCTATTTTTCTATACTGTTCATTAGGTTGTACTCCTGGAGCAAATCTCTTTATTGAATATAGAACATTAGTCAGTACTATGAACTATTCTCAAAACTTTTACTCTCTGAGTATATATTCTGGTATATTGGGTGCTTTTCTAGAACATTCTGATACAACTTCAAATCCACCTTGGCTTGATGACTCCTTAATAAATGCAGCCAACTGGCTCAAGGAAAATAACGCCTATTTATATGGATACACAAATTCATTTTCAACTACTTCGTCTAATCACCTCTCTTTCCCGATAGCAACTCATTTACCTGATGATGATACACCTCCTGTGTGACCAGGTGATATTACAGTCTCTGACAAAAATTTCCTGCACCTGTAATTTCCGAAAGAACTTGCTTTGAAGCATGAAATTTCACGCAGGGATAGTACATCCATTTGTAGATCGTATTAACCTTCCACAGCAGGGTTTATAGTAAAAATACCTACGCTAACTATACACCCAATTTTCAGCCCAAAAAATGCTGCTTCTTTTGCATCAACAATATGAAATCGTATTTTTGACCGTCCACCTGAAGGGTTCCAAGCTCTCAATGTATGAGACGGCAAAGCAGGTTCACTGTAGCGAAAAAGCAGTGAAACATTGAGTAAAAAGGTAGCAAGAAGACAAAGACCTAAGTGACAAACCAAGGTCAGGTCGTAAAAGAGCCACCACCCAAAAGCAAGACAAACGAATTTTGGGGCTGGCAAAAGAAACAAAGATATTATCGCTCCAGAAATCTGCTGAGAACTGCTAAAAAAGAATGTAGATATTCATGTACACACCATTCAATAGCGCCTTGGTGAAGGTGGGGCCTGTTACTATGGAAAACTCTCTATACCTTTGATCAGAGAGAAGCATTGAAAAAAACGCCTCTCATGAGCAAAAAAGCATAAGGATTTTGACTGGGATTCCATGATATTTATGGATAAAAGTACCTTTCATTTGAATCAATGGTTAAAAAAGGCTTGGCAGTTCTTCAGGAAAAGAAAAATAATCTGTTCTATCAAGTATCCATTGAAGGTTTACGTATGGGATTGTTTTCTTCTTTGGGCTTTGGCAGGTTGGTCTTGTTCACCTGTAATCTCAATACACAATATATGGTTACTCTATACAAAACAGGCCTTCTGCCTTCCACAGAGAACCTTTTTGATGGACGTTGCAATAATTGGATTTTGCAAAAGGATAATGATCCAAAACACTGTTCGAAAATCACGAAGGCATAGAAGGAAAAAAATAACGTCAAAGTTCTCTCCTGGCCGTCGATGTTATCTGACCAAAACCCAATCGAGAATGTCTGGAGGGTCATGAAAATAAATTTGTAAAAAAAAAAATTAGAACCCTTAAGGGTTTAAAAGAAGAAATAACAAAAGAATGGAACTCCTTATTTAAGAAATATGTAGCTAAATTAGTTGGGAGTATGAAATGTCGCATTGAAGCCCTAATAGAAGCTGAGGGCGATTATACAATGTGTTAATGATCATGTATTATTATCTATTTTTTAATAAAAAAAAAATTTTTTACCTACTATAAATT